TTTTTTTGGTTGGTTGGTTGATTTTTGCTTCTTTTTTTCTTAGGGAAAAATGTGATTTAAAGAACAGAGAATCTGAAATCATTTAGGACCAAAACCTCTAAGGCTCACTGCAGAAAAAAATAATTAATCAATTCCACTAATGAAGTAAAAGACTGAATTTCTCTTCAACAATGGGGGAAAAAATCCAGCTGAATTTTCCGGAAAGTAATAAGTATATAAAAGAGAGTAAAGAGATGCACTATCAAATTATTGTTAGGAATKTTTAAGAAAAGGCTCTTCAGAAATATTTTAAATAACAGGGTCTATRGCAAAATCAACTAAAAGTATTTTATATCATATCAGAATGTTCTATAAACAATGCTCATGCCATATCCAACCTAAAACAGGAAGAAGGATGCATTGTACACAATACAACATAYCATTATATGCTTTTATGGCAAAAGCAGAGTATTAGCACATGTACACGCCATGAATGCTACTTTACCTAAATCAGAACTTGTCATCTCTCTGTTTTAAACTGCACTGACTATGCCCTGGATGAAACTGAGCGCCTTCAGCAGTAATGGACTGTGCAAGGCATACRCATCAAAAAGAACAGAGACTCTTTAGTCCCTAGAAAGACTCCTACCTTTTCTGGATGCAGGCAGCCTTTTTCAAATGCAGGTGAGGTATGAGTCACACCTGSACTTTGCACTATTCTGGGACAAGAAGTAAAGTGGAGAAAACCAGGACTAAGGTAGGAAATTGAAAGTGAAAGAGTAGATGAAGGCAACAGAGACAATAACTTCCGGAGAGAATGGGACAGCAGGTCAAGAAAGAAAAATCTTGTAAATCAATGAGTTATRGTAGATAAAAGTAACTGGAGAGAAGATAAAGAAGTCAGAACTGGAAGAGCTGGTACAAAGAGACTAGACATGAAGGGAGACAGATTCACAAATCAATGAGGTGGGTGAAAGTATTTGTAGAGAAGACAAAATAGGCAGAACTAGAAGAGCTTACTCTGACTTGAATAACGAATGGAAGTTGAGAACCAGCTGGAATGACAATGCAGACAGAAATGCAGAGAAATAGTAGGGGAATAAAGAAACTGTAAGGGATGACATTGAATTGGAAAACAAAACTGARGAACAGAGGTGAGAGAACTGGGAGTGTCTGGGAGGAATGAGCTGAGGAGTTATGATTAAGGTCAGTGAAGAGATTTGATTGGGAAGAAACTGAAAAGATAATACTTAGGACTAGCATAGGTGAGAAGAGACCAAAATAGTAGGGATAAAGCAATGTAGACTGGAATTTCTGATTCCCAAATTCATTACTGCCATTCTGTCAGAAAGCATAGGTGCACAAAAGGCTTTAACTCTTTTACTGCATGTTCACGTACAGATAAAACACTAGTAATTATATTAGCTATTTTTTACTGATTATGGCATACTTTATAAACACTTTRGTGAAAATAGTTCTGGCTTAGACTTCAGCCAGAATCATCTAAAAATCCCAGCYTTATCAGTGCAGTATACTGTTATCTTATTTATCCTATGGGAAGCAATCAACTTCATTTCAGACATGGAAAATACATACAYAAACTGTAATACTAAAACAATAAATGCATTTCTGCATAGGATGCATGCAACTCATCCTTCAAATAACCATACTAATGAAGCTGTGTAGYGCCTACCATGGCATAGATTTCCCTTTCTTGCCTGAAAGGATAAACAAACATGATTTGCTTCCCATGCATTGCAAGAGAACAATTAACACCCAAAGAGACCCAAGAAGACAGGATGCTGCCACATTTTATGTTCCTATTCCACTGTTCAACCTGCAAAGGCCTCAGAGGCCAAGGTCTCCAAAAAAGGAGACATTATATAGAAAGTGGTATGGATACTTGCAAGACTTCCAAAAGGTAGCCTTGTTTATTACCTCCACTTCACATTTTGTAATTCAGCCAAAAGTAGTGTTATTAAAAGTTGTGTCTGATAAAATACTGCTGGATACTTCTCCATTCTGAAGGAGTACCCGTAGATACTCTCACACTTTGAGCTATTTGCCTTCACCTGATATCATGTCCCTGAAGTGAAATCAACAGGGAAACTGGAAAACAAAATAATCCCAACAACTATTATTTCTCTGGTGTACTCTCCCTGAAACAGATTTTCATGTGTCTTGAATGGATGTGCATGGAAAGCAAGAAAAATCGGATGAAATTGAGTGGAACAGACAACAGAAAAGACATTCAAAGGAGCTAAAAGGGAAGGACGTGAGAAGAATGAAGTTCTGAGAATGCTGAAAGCTGCCTGTATTACACCAAGGCTTGTCCTGGTGAAAACACAGGCCTGTGCACACCTAACATGAAAATGGTAACACCAAATCAGATGAAGCTTTCAGCTAACTTGTTTCCTCTCTGTCTGGAGCCAATTCAAATACTTAGCAAAGATTGCAAAAAAAGTTGGCAAAGAAATTATTTTACTAGCAAACCCTTCTAGGTTTTGGCAGTCAGCATAAAAGGTATTKTGGACAGGAGAACATTGTAATGAATATCTGTTCATGGATCTTTTAACCTTCATATATTTSTTATAATTTATTTTGAATCAATTAACTTTTGGTTTGGTTTGGTTCTTTGCATTGAACCAATTTGATTTTATCTTCTTATTTGCATAACACTTTTTAGATGTTCCTTCAGTAGAAGTCACCTTTGAAGGCTCTATTTTACATTCATGTGGCAACATTTTTCCTTTATTTTTGCATGTAGGGCACATAARTGCAAGTTTTAACCTCTGCTTAACTTTCCCTGTGATATAATGCAGCAAAGAGTAGTTTCTTCCTTTCTAAAATGGCTGCTAAGTTAAATACATTCAAGAGGTGCTTAATCTCCTATAACAACAGCCATACATTAATTTGTATTTCACATATCCTATTTCAACTTACAAAACTTTAATCACTGTATATGAAATTATAGACACGCATACATACATGCACAGATGTGTTGATATGCACATATCATGCATGTGGGGGCATAATAYATATCCTAGATACCTTCAAATTGTATTTTTGGGATTCTAATACATATTTTCCATTATCATTAAAAAACCCTAGAGTATAAATATTTAAGAACAAGTGAATGAAAGAAAACCTCAAAACAGATACAAAACACTATATMTTGATATGAAATTTAACAAATACTTCCTTTAAGTTTTAATTTTCTTCACTTAAAAAATGCTGGTCAGAGTTGTCTTCTTTTTTTTTTGCCCCCCCCATCAGGATAACTGACTCAAGATAACGGCTGTCATAGAATCATAGAATATCCTAAGYTGCAAGGAACCTACAAGGATTAGCAAAGTCCAGCTCYTGGTCCTGCATGGGACATCCCCAAGTGTAACACCATGTGCCCAAGGGTAGTCCAAACACTTCCTGAACTCTGACAAGTTTGGTGCTGTGACCACTTCTTTGGGGAACCTGTTCCAATGCCCAACCACCCTCTGGG